ATGAACAAACAAGTGCAGATGTCACTTCGACTATACTTTTTTGCCTCTCTAGGATGTATTCTCAGGAGTGGTATTGCTGGGTCAAATGGGAGACCTGTACAAAGAAAACTACAAAATGCTACTTCAGGAAATGAAAGAGGATGCGAGGAAAAGGAAATATATCCCCTGCTCATGGATGGGGAGAATTAACATTGTCAAAATGGTAGTACTTCCCAAAGCACTGTACAAATTCAATGCGATCCCTATAAGGATACCCATGACATTCTTCAAAGAAATGGAGCAAACACTCCTGAAATTTATATGAAACAATAAACCCCCACGAATAGCTAAAGCAATTCTTGGGAAAAAGAAAATGGGAGGAATCAACCTCCCTAACTTCAAGCTCTACTACAAAGCAGTAATAATTAAAACAGCATGGTACTGGAACAAAGGCAGAACTGTAGACCAATGGAACAGAGTTGAATATACTGACATCTCCTCCCAAGCATATGATCATCTAATCTTTGATAAGGGGGCAAGAAAAGTGAAGTGGAGCAGGGAAATCCTCTTTAATAAATTGTGCTGGCAAAACTGGATGGCTACATGCAAAGAAGTGGGCTCAGATCTCTGCCTAATGCCATGCACAAAAGTAAGATCAAAATGGATTAATGACCTCAATATCAGATCAGAATCCATAAAGTTCATTGAAGACAAAGTTGGCAAAACCCTCCATCATATTGAAGCTAATGGTATCTTCAAAGATGTCACACCATTGGCCAAGCAAGTGAAAACAGAAATAGACAAATGGGACTATCTTAAACTAAGAAGCTTCTGCACCTCAAAAGAAACAGTGACCAAAATACAAAGACAGTCTACAGAATGGGAAAGGATATTCACCAAATACACATCCGACAAGGGGTTGATAACAAGGATATTATACAAGGTACTAGTTGAACTCCACAAGAAGAAAACACCTAACCCCATCAAAAAATGGGGCGAGGAAATGAACAGAAACTTTCGCAAAGAAGAAATCCGAATGGCAAAAAGGCACATGAGAAAATGCTCTACATCACTAATCATCAGGGAGATGCAGATCAAAACAACAATGAGATATCATTTCACACCACAGAGACTGGCCCACATCCAAAAGAACAAAAGCAACTGGTGCTGGTGCGGATGTGGCGAGAAAGGGACCCTCCTTTACTGCTGGTGGGAATGCTGACTGATATATTTTTTTAAAGAGAAAACAATAAAGGTTTTAGAAAGAATAAGTTGCAAACAGTTGGGAGGAACACTGAAGAATAAAATTTCCCGGTGAGGTGATTCTTTGAGGCACATTCTATTTTATTTGCAAACCTAAACAAAGTAAGGATTAAGTTTTCAGAAAGGACAAAATTTAGGAAGTCTGTGCTTATTTATTTATTTTTTTTTGCCCTACATGAATTTCTCACTAGTCATAAAATTCAACTCCTTATGTTATAGAACACAAATGTTAGAAGACTAATTCAAATACTGATTCTGTTACTTATTAAGAATAAGTGTCTATGATAACAGGTTATACATTTTTTGTTTGACAATAGGTTATACATTTTGTCCTCAATTTAATTTTCTTAAGAAAAAATTCCTTCATTTACATTGGAAAGTCAATGAGTGTAGTGGTTAAAAGAACTGGGAAACCTGGCCAAGGCTTTCTAGATGTGCCATCTCAGGAAAGTTAATTTGTATGAGCCTGAGATTTTTTTCTACGTAGAAGGAAGATTCATTTGTTTGACATTAATTCCATAATAAATTCTTTCATTCCTTCAGTGTTATTGAAAACTTTCTATATGGCCAACATTGTGCTGGGTATCAGGAATAGATTGGACTGTAAAACAAGAACCCTGACACTAAGAGCTTACAATTTAATAGTGGACATAGCAGATAGGTAACTGCACAAGTGACCAATTCCATTGTGATAAACTGTGTTGTGATGGTTTTACCTAGACAGTATCAGGGAAGACTTCCTGAGAAAGGGGCCATACTTATGCTGAGTCTGAAGCATGAGTGAGTAAGCACTATCTATTCCTCTGAAGATAAAAAGGGATGCCGATGTGGCTGAAACTGAGTATACATGGAGTCCCTATCTCATTGGTGCTGAAAAATTATACGAGATCATAAAGCAGTTTACTCAGTGCCCTGCAAAGAGAAACAAAGATGGCGAAGAAACACCTTCCGGTTGGTGGTAGACAACATATGAAGACACACCCTGCAATCCAATGGTTTTCAAATTAGCTTTCATCCAAATTAGCTGGAGGGCTTGGTAACTCATAGATTACACAGTTCCCATTCAGAAAGTGTGGTGTGAAGCAGATGATCAGATAATTAGTATATCTACCAATCAGCCAGGAGTTCCTGCTGCTGTAGGGATGGGGTGGAGGAGGATGGGTATGTGGCCAAGAGATAAGGAACCACGTCGGTTACAATTATTGTAAACTGTCCTAAATGTCTCTCAACCAAAAACGAACCTCTCATAATGTTCAGGTCTAGAGTTTACAAAGAACAACCTCTTCTTAATAATTTGATAAAATTCTTGGTAACTTTACTAAACTTTACTAAACACCATGAGGTACAGTTGTAGAATGAGAAAAGTCTCTCAAATAATCCCCACTTTTCATGTTCACAGAAGACAAGCACAAAGACTGGAAAAGGTGACAAAATTGGCTAAGAAATGGGATGAATGATTTGGAAACTAAGAGCTTTGCCCGTGCAGAGCTAGCTTTTGGTGTCTTCTGTATAAATGCAGCCGAAGGCAGCTTCTGGCAACTGTCTGTTTGCTTCTCACATAAGGCAGATGGCCAAGGGAAGTCTGTTTTTTGTTCAACTTAAAAAAAAAAAACTAAATGGATTGTTGGAATAAATATATATTTCAAGAATGAAAATAAATTCAATAAAATATATTTTTCAAAGAAATAGACACTAGCACAACTTTACCTCTTCTTAGCCATTCTCTTGTGGCAAAATTTAAAATACAAGTAAAAATAACCAAAGCAATAATTCGTTTTATTAGTTTATATTCAGGTTAGAGAAAAGGTCGTCCCCTCAATGGATCCTTACCATCTAATTAAGAAGTAGGTTCTAGTCGATTTTATTTCCTAGATTAAGAATCTAAGGCACAGAAAAGTCTCATAATTTGATTTAAATTAAAGCACCACATAAAGCAACAAAAAGGGAGAGTAACACCCAGGAATGGCTGAGATTAGTACCAGGAATTTTGCTCCATGAATGGAAGGCCAGTCACAGGCTCTAGGTGAAAAGGAAGCTCAGATAGAGAAGAGAGTACCAAATGAAGGGTGTTGTGAGGGCCCTCCCAGGGTGGGAGAAGCATGCTAAAAGTAGTCGATAGACCAAACATGATCGCCACTCAAAGCCTCTCTTGCAAAACACAGTACCCAAAAGAAGAGAGAGAGAACAAGGGGGAATACTCTGCCACAGAGGCAGGATGGGAGGGGGGGGGAGGGGGGATGCTGGGACCCATGGGGATGGATGACGGGCACTGGTGGAGGGATGGGCACTTGATCATTGTATAACTGAAACCCAAGCACAAAATTTGTAAGCCTATAACTGTACCTCATGGTTTTTCACTAATAAAAAAAGAAAAAATAAAAAATAAATTAATTAATTAAAGCACCAGGATTTGAACCCTAGAAGAAGGATTTGAATCAAATCTGACCCCAGGATCTTGGGCTCCCAATGACATTAACAATGAATAATTCAATCACTTCCAAACTAAATCTGAGGTAACTGTTAAGACATTTACAAGAAAAACAAAGTCATTATTGAAATGAGTACTTGCAAACTCTGAGAACAGAGATGCCCCAGGAAACTACCCAATGCACTTACTAACTCGCTGCAAATGAAGGAACCCCTCCTTTGACAAGAACACCCAACAGTAACTTTTTTTTTGTGATTACTTTTATTCAAGTAATATATATATATATATTTTGTTTCTTTTTTTTTTTTACAGTTGTAGATTTACAATTTTTTGTGCTTGGGTTTCGATTATACAATGATCAGATACCCATCCCTCCACCAGTGCCCATTTTCCACCACCATGGATAATATCCCCCCTCCCCCATCCCCCCAACAGTAACTTTTATCCCGAGTTGCTCTTTCAAGTTAGATGAGGAATATGCCAAGGCAGGTTTTCCAAAAATAAAAAGCAGCTGAGTCATCAAGGTCTTTCAGAGGAAACGAATATCTCTTGAGGGTCATAAACCTTGACTTCTGGCTGAAGGGGTGCAAGGACGGAATGAGAAAGGGGTGTGCCCACCAGAGAGGAGAGGAAGGCTGGGGAAGGCCAGGGATTGCTTCCTCACTCCCTCCTCGCAGAATAGGTTTAGTCATACTAGCTCCAGGGCAGGGAAGCCAGAAACTAGGACCCCTGGCTTCCAGGAGAGGGTGGGAGGCATGTTTGGGATGCGGATCTCTTAGGGGGAAAATCTGAAGCGCCTAGGGAAAGCTTTTCAAAGATGCCCAGTCACGATGCTTCATCTCCCCATCCAAACTCTCCCACACTCAAATAAACAGAAAGGGTGTGTGTGTGTGTGTGTGTGTGTGTGTGTGTGTGTGTGTGTGTGTGTGTGTGGCGGGGGTGGGTTGCGCGCCAGGGCCTGCAGAAAGCGACGTGCAAGTGGATGCGGTGCAAGTGGATGCAGGCTGGCACGCATCCCCCTTCCCTCCTGCGGAGCCTCCCCGCTGGCTGCCTCCCGCGGTGTCAGTGGCCCCCTGAGCCCTGCCCGCCCCAGACCGGGAGGGGCGCACGGGCAGCGGGGCCGGGCCAGGGCGGCCCTGCAGGACCCCCGCCGGGCGTCCGTCCCGGGGGCGCGGAGCCCCGCAGCTGGCAGCACCGCCCGCCGGCCCGCGCCACGCTCCGCCCCGGCGGCCGCTCGTCTGGGCGGGGGTGCGGGAGGCGGGCGGGCCCGGTTCGGCCTGATTCGCGGCGCTGCTGGAAACCGCTTCGCTCCCGCAGGAACCGGCGCAGCGGCAGCAGCAGCAGCAGCAGCAGCAGCAGCAGCAGCAGCAGCAGCAGCAGCAGCAGCAGCAGCAGCAGCTGCTGCAGCAACAAGTCGGGTGAGTGGCCGCCCGGGCTTCGGGGTCTGCGGCCCGGGGGCGCGGCGGGGGGCACCGGCCCTTGCGACTGGGGCCGCGCGTGGGGTCCTGTCCTGCGGCGCGGCGTGGTTCGGGCTTCTCGCCCCCCACCTGCAGGCACTCGCGTTCCCACTCTGGCAGCCCCGCGCCAGCACGCAGTGAAGTGGGGGCGGGGAGGGTCAGGACCCCACCAAGGCACGGTCCTGGACGTCCAGCCCCGGGCCGGAGTCCTTTCGGGACCCAGCGGCGGGGGTTTCCCCTGGGCCGGGGGGGGGCTTGCTTGCTCTGGGAATGCGTGAGCCTATTTCTACAGCCAGGCGTGCTAGTGCACCGTGACCTCGCCTCCCTTCGCCGCTCACCTGCTCCTGCAGGAGGGTTTACCTCCAATTCCCAGAAAACGGTGGCTAAATATTGGGCCGAGGCGCAAAGGAAGAGGTTCCTGGTAATAAGGGCCAGAGGCTGATTAACCTGGAAGCTTTCCCTGGTTGTCTGGAGACAATTTGCCTCTCTGCTTTTTGAAGAGGGTGTGCACTCAACGATTTTTTTTTTCTGTCTGTAAGCTTAACCGAGCTCCCTCTTTGGGGGGCCCAGTGCTCCTTACATTGAAGAAGAAAGCATTTCTGGAGGGACTACATATGTACTGCTTGCAGAATTGAGTTGTTAGCATTCATCTGTTGCCCGGATTAAGATAATAAATTCCTACAAGGAAACAAGAACTTCCTGTTATGGAGAGTTATGCTGCTGATACCTACCTGGTTCAAATGTTGTCCATCTCTAGAGGTTATCTTATTAAAGCAGGATCAGAGAAAATGTACTCCCACACGGAATACTCTTGGCCATGACTAAGGCCCCGCTATCAGATGATATACAGGTTTCCAAATTTTAGTAAATATGGAGCAAGCGGAGGTGGGAGATATAATTGTTATGATCACGCTTCAATTTTTGTGATCACAGCAGTAGTTTACAAAATTGAAGGCAAAATCTCAGGTTGAAAAATTTCTACTTGACACTTAGTGCCAACTGTGCCCAACTTGAGTTGTAATGTTTAAGTATATATTAAATACATATAAGTATATTAGTATATGTATATGATATTATATACATATACATTATAACTCAAGTTGGGTCATAACTTATATGTTATATATAAGATATGCACATATATGCACATATTGCTGTGTGTGTGACCAAATGCATGAACCTGCCCTTTTAGGACTTGATTTGACAGTTCCTGTGAGTACCTTCATTTTTTGTATTCATGCTTGACAAGATTGTGTCAGTGAAATAGGGAATTGTGTGTAGTTAGTGTACACAATTCAGGACTGCAGGAAACTTGAACTGCACTTCTGAGTTTGCCTCCTTCCATTTGGCCTTAGATGAATTACTTTATCTTTTTTGCTCCAATTTTCTCATCTGTGAAAAAAAGAGTGTGTTAATTCCCCCCCTCACATTTTTTCAATCCTAGACAGATATTGGCAGACTTTTATATAAAGGCCAAAGGGTAAGTTGTGTAGCTATCAAAGTCTCTCTCTTAACTACTTACTTTGGCTTCAATGCACAAGCAACAGTAGGCAATATAGAAATGAGTAGGTGAACCTGGGTTTTGCTCAGGAGTTACAGGTAATTAATTTTTATGTAATATGCAAAAGTCATTTGAAATAGCACAAGAGCCTTTGCATTCATGGAGATGAGCAACCAGAGCCATTTTAGTAGCACTGTTTAAGCACACATGTAAATCACCAGTTTTATTTCCGCTGCACAGGACTTTCAGAGTAATGCAACAGAAGGCTTTTGAGGAAAGCAGATACCCCTGGCAGGAATCCTTGGAGAATGTTGCTGTGTGCCTGCCATTCCGCTGCCCAAGGTGTGGCGACCATACCAGATTTCGAAGCCTGTCATCATTGAGAGCCCACCTAGAGTTCAGTCACAGCTACCAGGAAAGGACACTCTTGACAAAATGCAGCCTCTTTCCATCCCTCCAAGACACAGACCTTGTCACTTGTTCGGAACCCCTGAAACAAGGAAAATTGCAATGCAGTGGCAATGTGGTGAAGCAGAAACCCAGCTATGTCAACTTGTATAGTATTGCACACGAGCACTCCCAGGACAGGAAGCCTTTCGAGGTGGTGGCAGAGAGACCTGTGTCCTACGTGCAGACCTATACTGCAGTGGACCTGCACACAGACTCACTGGATGGACTGCGGTCAAGTCCTGGACTTCCCACCTCAGACACCAAAGCTTCTTTCGAGGCCCACGTCAGAGAAAAATTTAATCGAATGGTGGAAGCTGTGGATCGGACCATTGAGAAGAGAATTGATAAGCTCACCAAAGAGTTAGCCCAGAAAACTGCTGAGCTGTTGGAAGTCCGGGCGGCTTTTGTACAGCTGACTCAGAAAAAGCAGGAAGTTCAAAGAAGGGAGCGAGCCCTGAACAGACAGGTGGATGTGGCTGTGGAGATGATTGCTGTGCTCAAGCAACGCCTGACGGAGTCTGAGGAGGAGCTTCTCAGGAAAGAGGAGTAAGTGGTGCTCAAACAGGATGCCAACCCCATGATCTTAGGCAGTCCCTGCCCCCAAGCTGCAAGCAAATGTTAAGCAAGGTTTGGTTGTTATTACTTGTAGGTGCCTTGGCTGTATTTCTGGTTGGTACAACTGAACCGAGGAGGCACGGTTTTTTGTTTTGTTTTTTTGTTTTTTAGAATGTGTTCTCTCTGTGGTCTGCAACTCATCAACCTGAAAGTCAAAATAGCCGATTCTTATCACCTTGGGAACTCCAAATACAACTTTGGGAGACAGGAGTGGCACTCTTTGTGAGGGTTCCATTCCCCATGAGAAGCAAGGTTGAGTTGACTGGGAAGGCAATGCAGAAAGCACCTGTTGGGTCAGGTTACAGCATGAGGACAAGGATGAGAACACAAGATGCTTATATTCAAGTACCAAATTAGGGTCTGTGCAACCATTTGAGCTTCTTTTCCATTTCATTTCATATTCTTATGTTAATTAAATGTCAATAACTGAGTGTTCATTCAATTATGATTTTATTTGAAAGAAGCAGACTGAGGAATCCCAAAGGGAGCTTTCTGATATTACCATACTCCTGTAATTTAAGTTGTGGAAGTTTCTTTTTGTCAAATGCCGTGTGGCACTAGAGTAAATCTCTTCTGCTCGCAAAGTATAGATACTGGTCTTTGCAAGTTTGAGATGATCATAGAAACCATCCCTTTAAAAATGATCCTATTTGGAAAAGCATTTTGTTATCAATTCGCATGGATTCAACACAAACTAGAAATATATGTGTACAGGGTATTTCCCAAATGTAGAATGTTGGGTTTAGTTTGATTTTAAATGAGAATTAGAACTCATAGACTCAACAAACTTAAAAATGTACTAATGCATCCCAGAGGAAAGTTTCCAAATAATTTGAGTTTGATTACTGAGATTGAGTTAATTTCATACTTCCTTTGCCCTCTGGTATTTTTCTTACCTGTGTTGAGTGTAGAGTAATTAAAACTTCTCCTATTTCATAAATGACTGAGAACACATATTTTCCACATTTTCCATCTGTGAGACCCTGGGTTTGATCCCCAACACCACATGCTCACATACACAGTTCGCAATCCACCATATCCCACACCAGACCACACTAACCTCCGGAGATAGCCACCATTTACTTAAATTAGTGAATGTCCTTCCTGAACTTTTTATGCTATGCATTCAATATATGTGTTTTGTGTTTGCATGTAGAGTTATTCTGTTTTCCCAAATGGAGCCATGACATAATACCCTGCCATTTGTGTGTAGAATTTGCTTTTGTTTTCATACACTAGCTTGAGGGCTTCTTTAATTTGTTTTAGTATAAAATTGTGTCACTCCTTTTGGCCATTGCATGGTAGTCTATGATGTGTCATGACTGGTTTTAATCAGTTTATTTATAAATAGATATCTTTGTTTAATTTTTCTAGTGTTAGTAATAGTGCCTCAGTTAGTATCCTTAAACAGTTGTGTTCATATTATTTTTCAAAGAATATCTGAGCATAAATTTTGAGATGGTTTTCGGTAAGACATTTTCTGGTACTAGAGAAACAGAGAAATGACTTTTTAAAAAATGACACCAATTAAAAAGACAGTACTGTGGCATGGTCTTAAACTTTCTAATGTAAAAAAATAAAAAAAAACAGAGTCTTTATTTTTCTGTCATCACTTAGCTTTCTTTTTGGCCCATTCCATCAGCTTTTCTATTCAAGCCTCAAATAATCCCTCTTTCTGTATATAAAACAGGACTGAAAGAGTCCTATTTACAGCAAAAAACACTAGAGTTCTTGGTCTGAGAGAGCAGTTGTGTCCAGAGTCTTCGGGTCCTATACTGTTGTCTTGTCACCTTCCCTCCCCCATGGGGAATAGAAAAGGGCAGGCAACCCATCTGTCAAACTACTGATATCTGATTGATTGGTCTAAATCTCACTGCCAGGGCCAAGCCCTTCCCTCCTGCCACACTTCCACAGAGATGCACCATCAAAACAAGTGGCAGGCTTTTGGTTGGGTCTTGAGGGAAGAACCTGTATGGCTAAGGAATTCACCAGGAACTACTAGACCCATCCAGATGAGCTCTCAAGGCCTATTTGTGAAAGAAAGTAGGTTCTTACAGTTCCATTTCAGATTGACTTAAACTCTGGGGACACAGATGGCAGAGTTGATTTTTTAAAATAAAACAATTGGTATTTAACATTCAAACAAGGCTCTCTTGCTTATGGATTTTCCCTCCTCAAGTTTAAAAATTCTTTCTTTCAAATGGAAATAAAAGATTCTAGAGTCAATTCTGCCCTGAGGCCATCTATTCATGGAACTAGCTTGAATTGTTGAAGTCATATTTAAACTGTATTACAGAATAGATAGTTTAAATTGGCAGTCTCATTGTACCTCTGTAGTGAGGAATTCATATATTTCTGGCATGAAAAGCCAAAAAACGAAGTTATTTATTGTCTGCCTGAAGTCTGTGCAACTCTGAAAGTCCTATTAAAATAGGTATTTACTCATTCAAGAATACTCAGAGCTGTAGGGTAGCACTACCCGTAATCATGTAAATCAATCCTATAAACCTTGGGGTAAGGTATCAAGGAATGATGAATGTAGTGGTAGTGGTAGCTGGAATTTGGCTGAGTTTGCCACCTAGACTTTGAAGAACAACAGTATAAATAACACTAATCCACATTTGACTGCATATTCTGTTGCTTGTAAGATGGGGAGGTCTTAATGGGCAGTAGGGAAAAGACTGTAAAAAATAACCCCTAAAGGGACTTTGTAATTTTAGAGCTGGTAACCTCTAAAACTTTAGAGAAAGTAACCTCTCCTTCAGTATAACTATCTCATCTTGGACTGGAAAGATAGTTCAACAGACTGAATGCATGTTTTGCCTGCGGAAGGCTTGGGTTCAATCTCTAGCACCAATGGGTATAACCCAAAAATCACAAAAGAAAACACTGCAAACAAACTAGTGCTCCCCCCACCCAAGTGAGAAAGTACCATTATTCTATAAGTCTGAGAATTTTTTTTTCTTTTTGGGTCACACCCGGTGATGCTCAGGGGTTACTCCTGGCTCATGCAGTCAGGAATTACTCCTGGCGGTGCTCGGGGGACCATATGGGATGCTGGTATTCGAACCCGGGTCAGCCAAGTTGGCTGCGTGCAAGGTAAACGCCCTACCTGCTGTGCTATCACTCCAGCCCCTAAGTCTGAGAAATTTAAGGTGCAAAACTCTGGGATGACTTGTCCAAAGATGAAATTTATTGACAGCACTGAGATTGGAACCCAATTTCCCTGTCTTCTCTGCGGAGTACGTTTCCCATTACTTTATTATGCCTTCACCAGACTTTTGAAAATGTGATATTTGACTAAAGCACCAAGACTTATGTAACACTGAATCTGGCCCGTTTTGCTGCTTTGCTATTTTGAGAGGGCTGCCATGGTGACATCATTTTTATTTCTGATGAGACTAAAGACAATGTCAGCTGACATCAAAGGTGCTGGGAGACGGGGATATGAAGGTGTCATAAGTGTGGCTGTGATCTTCAGCTTCCGGAACACCAGCCTGGAGCTCTCAACTCCCCAGAGAGACTTTTAAGTTTACTCTCTGATCATCCATGCCTGGTCAGGGTGGAGCAGGTGTGGCTGCCAGCTCTGACTGCGGTGAGGGCCTCTTTATAATTCCACCTGTAGTTTTCATCCTGCTCCTTTGCTGCCTAGGATAGATAAAATCTTCCCCTTCTTTCCTCATCATTTACACTGCATCTAATCCAGAGCCATCCAGAAGACGAATCTTCATTAAGTGCCTCGTGAATAATTCCAGATTCTGTTCTAGGTTCTGGTAGATAACCTGATGAACCCAGTTCTTGCTTTCATGACAAGAATTGATCAGAAGGTAAAACTGACATTAAGCAGATCCCTAGGTGCATGATATAAAAGACATGTGGGGTTGTTGCCAGAGCAGGTAATGTTCATGTGGGCTTCCTATTGTTGTCATCTGGTCTTTAAAATTCAAGTTTTACCTCATAACATGCTTTGCATGGCTAAATCCTTTTGCTGGTTCCTTCCCTCTTTCCCTGGTTGAGTTACCAAAGCCCTAGAGACAACTTGGTTTCCAGAATAAACCCATAGCTAGAAAGAACATCAAGAAAAAAAAGTCATACGTAGAATTCAGTGGGACAGGGTGGGGGGTCTGTTCTGCATTTTAATATATTTTTATAAATAGGATATTCTCTTTCCTGTGCTCCATGCATTTTAATATATTTATGTAAGTAGGGTATTACCTTTCTGGGCTGTGCTTCTTGCAGCTTTAAAAGCTAAATTCACAATACTGGATTTTAAACAAGCCCTCTTAGAGATGACACTGGTTAAATGAGGAGACCCAGGAACATTTTGGAACATTTAGAGCGTGTCTTGTCTCCTGGCTCTTGTGTCAGTAACTTCTGCCTTTTACCTCTTTCTGTCACTCTGAACTGAAGGTCTTAGGTTATAATTGTGATCAAGTATACCTAGAGCAATTAGGAATGATGCGACCTTCCCAGTAACAGTACTTTCTTTTTTATAGTTCTTAGAATGATACCCTTTTCAGTTTATTCAGAGAACTCCCCTCAAACGCCAGATAAGGCACAGTGCTAATGAGAGCAGAGGTATAACATAGCTCCAAGTGTGAGGCAAGATTCTGTCCTGCGGGACCCTATGTGCTACATAGGAGTTGAACAGGACTCAGAGTTTGCAGTGAAAAGTCCCCATCCTCCACCTCCCCGCTCCTGTACACACACAGGGCTGGGGTGCTGGAAGCTAGTTGACTCCAGTTTGGGGATTTGCCTAGTGGCTGTCTTGAGGTTTTCTGTGATCAATAGCTAGACTATATTTAACCAGAGCTATTTTTACCATTTCACACACCTTTGAAGGGTTTCATAAATCAGTAATGTAAAATGAAATTTAAATTACTCGGTAGAGCTTTGCCTTTGGGAGGAAAACCCGAGGTTAAAGTGTTCTG